TTCTTTATGTTTTTAGATAATTTCTGTATACAGCTATTTAATAAAAAGTTTGTGTGTGGGTATTTAAAGATTGCAGCTATAATATTTTCTATAAAGAATTTGAATGATCAATATTCTTTACCAAGGTTTTTTTTTTGTTATGAAGAATTGCTCTATATATAAAGTGTGTTTTTTAAAGAAACTAAGAATCTTACTATCTAAAAAAAAATGTTTGAAATATATTTTTATCCAGTATTTCAAAAATAGTTTAAGATTTGGAGATATAAAAGGTTTTATTTATATAACATAAATAAAATATTTTATGAAAACACAAAATTTGAGATAAATTGAAATATTTGAAAAAAATAAACAGTAATTTTCTAAAATAAGAACTTTGGTTAATTTAAATAAGAAATCAAATCCTTGATATAATAATCCCGAAAGGGGGATAAAAGTGAAAAAATATCCTATTTAAATACTCGATAAAACATGATAAAAGAAATAATGATATTTGAAAGACCCAGATTTGCATAATAATTACTAAATCTAATAAATTAAATTTTAAAATGATATTATTATTGCTTAATAATTCCGTTTTTATTAAAAAAAATAATTTTAAAGGGATGGTACAAGCAAAAGAAAGTGTAAATTAGATTTTAAAAATTTTAAAATTGCACATTTGTGATTCCTTAAACGATACATTGTTTATTTGATATTTTTTCAAAAAATATGATGGTTTACAATTGAGATTTTTCTTTTAATATTTTATTAAAGATTTAAAACTTTTCAGCGATCAATATTATCATCACAGAAAAAAAGTTTCAAGCCGTTTCTTTTTTTTATAATATTGCCGGCACCACTGTTGCATATCTTCCTTTTAGCCTCTACGTTTCTAACTTGACTGAACGTTACATCCATTTTCATCGGTAAGTAGGAAAAATTTATAGGGATTTCAAAGGGTTTTTGTTAAAATTCACGCAATTTCATTTTGTTTAAAGCTTCTTTAACACGTTATTTTAATATTTTATTTAAAAAAGGGTCTCTAAAACCGGTTTTTTCGGCACCGGATCTTTATTAAGGGTTGAGGTATTTCGACATTTGGCAATTTGTTCTGTAGCTTTCCATGAAAGTTATTTCTAATTGTAATGAATTCTTTAGCAATGTTTCAAATAAATACATCCTGTTTATTAATATAATTATTTTAAATCCCCGTTACCGGTTAGAAAACAAAGTATGTTTTGAAAGGGTTAATTTGACTCAAAAAGGTGTTTTTTGAAGTTGTTGAAGAGTTTATGAGCTAAAATTCGCCAAAAGCTAAACTGCTGGAAAGTTAGTTATCGATTGAAAAAGTTTTTGCCACGTGGTACGCCGTCTGGCTCGTAGACGTGGAACTATAATTATTAAAGCGCTTGTTTATAAATGTTAAAAATACTAATATACTGTCATTTAAATTGAATTATGTTGCACATTTTTACTGCTTTATGAGTATAAGAGATAACGCAATCCTTTGATACCCTGTTAGGCCTAAGTAGTGAGGGAGGGTAAGACGCCGCGTATTGTTGTCTACATTTCGTCCCAAACGATTAATAATATTGACAGTGTATAAAGATTTAATTCTAACAAAACACTTATATAAAGTTTGTTTATATGTAATCAGTGATTAATAAAACGCTTTCATTGTTCTCGCATCAGATATAAGTATACCAGTAAAAACAAAGAGTGTTTAAAAGTATTTTATGTACTTTTTATTAAGTTTTAGCGATTTTATTTTTATAATATTATTCGCCTTGAATTACATTTTTATTACAATATTGTAAAAAGGTTTCAGTATCAAATTAAACAATTTCTATAATATTTAAAAAAAATTATCAGTATTTTGTGATTATAATTTTTTTGTTGTTGTTTTGAGCAGCAGCCATGGGAAAGGAAAAGACCCATATTAACATTGTCGTCATTGGACACGTCGACTCTGGCAAGTCCACCTCCACTGGTCACCTCATCTACAAATGTGGTGGTATTGACAAGCGTACCATCGAGAAGTTTGAAAAGGAAGCCCAGGAAATGGGCAAGGGTTCCTTCAAGTACGCCTGGGTGTTGGACAAGCTGAAGGCCGAGCGTGAACGTGGTATCACCATTGACATCACCCTGTGGAAGTTCGAGACTGCCAAGTACTACGCCACCGTCATTGATGCCCCAGGCCATCGTGATTTCATCAAGAACATGATCACTGGAACCTCCCAGGCTGATTGCGCTGTCCTCATTGTGGCTGCCGGTACTGGAGAGTTCGAAGCTGGTATCTCCAAGAATGGACAGACCCGTGAGCATGCCCTTCTGGCTTACACCTTGGGTGTCAAGCAGATGATTGTGGGAGTGAACAAGATGGACTCCACTGAGCCACCCTTTAGCGAGAGCCGTTTCGAGGAAATCAAGAAGGAAGTCAGTGCCTACATCAAGAAGATCGGTTACAACCCAATCCAGGTTCCTTTCGTGCCCATCTCTGGTTTCCACGGAGACAACATGATCGAGCCCAGCAGCAACATGGGATGGTACAAGGGATGGGCTATTGAGCGCAAGTCTGGAAAGGCTGATGGCAAGACCCTCCTCAATGCCCTCGACGCTATGGAGCCCCCAAGCCGTCCCATGGACAAGGCTTTGAGACTTCCCCTGCAGGATGTCTACAAAATTGGAGGTAAGTTTCCACCAAAGGTAATATTTACACAATTCTAAAATTGTGCCTGTCTATAGGTATTGGAACGGTGCCCGTCGGACGTGTGGAGACTGGTGTCCTGAAGCCCGGCACTGTTGTGACCTTCGCCCCCGCCAACATCACCACTGAGGTCAAGTCTGTGGAGATGCACCACGAGGCCCTCACTGAGGCCGTCCCCGGTGACAACGTTGGTTTCAACGTGAAGAACGTCTCTGTGAAGGAGCTCCGTCGTGGCTACGTTGCTGGAGACAGCAAGGACAATCCCCCTAAGGCAACTGAGGAATTCACCGCCCAGGTCATCGTCCTCAACCACCCTGGTCAAATCTCCAACGGCTACACCCCCGTGCTGGATTGCCACACCGCCCACATTGCCTGCAAGTTCCGGGAGATCAAGGAGAAGTGCGATCGTCGTTCCGGCAAGAAGCTTGAAGGTAATCATTTCATATCTTAACTTTCGAACATGTTCTAAAGCAAACTTTGCTTTGTGTAGACCTCCCTAAGGCCATCAAGTCTGGTGATGCCGCCATTGTTGACCTGGTTCCCACCAAGCCCATGTGTGTGGAGAGCTTTACCGCTTTCCCCCCTCTTGGCAGGTTTGCTGTGCGTGACATGAGGCAGACTGTGGCTGTCGGAGTCATCAAGTCTGTCAAGCCTAAGGACCCCAGTGGTGGCAAGGTGACCAAGGCTGCTGAGAAGGCCCAGAAAAAGAAGTAATTTAAAGCTGGACTTGTTGGAGGGTCTATAGTAAACTGTCTGTCAATTTTTAAATAAAACTAATTTTCTAACTTGTTTCTTTGCTTTATATATTCATTCATTACATTTAATTCATTAAAGATTCATATATGTCCAAATAAAATACAATAAATACGATTTTAATTAAGTCATAACATATTTTAAAAAGGACCTATTATGTATAACAAACGAAAACCGGTCTAGTTTGGTATCGATTTAAGGGTTAGGTTTGTAAACATTGTATATTAAAAAATCAATTTACCCAGGCCTTTTTTTCGTAGCCATTTAAAGTTATTTAAATATTAGGAATAGCTATTTATTATTACTTTTAGGCCATTTTCAAATTTAAAATATCAAAAAAGCTATTTTGCTAATATTTAATACAAGTTCTAAAAGAATTATCATCATCGTAAGTATTGAGCTGGAAAAGGCACGTGAATAGTGAGGCCTAGCGGTATTCTACGATCGCCCAAATTTATCCAATAAAATCGGTAAGTACAATTTAAATATATCTTCAAAATATATTTATATTAATTTAAAATATCACTAAGCATCAAATCACATACTTATTTACCTCTTATGTCAAATAATATTTATTTTTTATAAGTTTGGGAATATCGTGTGGTATTTAAAGTTTTTGATTAATCGTGTCTATATAATAAAGAACGTTATATATTTTAACGATTTATATATCCACTTTTTAACTTTATTTCTATACGTTTTTATTGGAGATAAACAATTTAATTTATCTTTAGCCTAATGTGTATTCCAAACACAAGTCATTTAATATCTATAATATAAATTATTTAGACACCTTTTTAAATACTAAAATCAAGTATGATAAGGTACAATTCGGATTATAGATTAGAAATTGTTTCTCTAATTGCAAAATATTTTCAATTAGCTCTTTTTTAAGCTCTAAAGGGTTTTCTAGAAATGCTTTGTACTTTTTAACAATTTTTAGAAGCCTTGTAGTTTTGTATATCACACACTTTGTTCCATTATCATAATATTCAATCAAAAAGCTTAAATGTTTGAGTAAGTGTAGAATAAATTGAGCCTCCCCCCCCTTTTTTTTTTGTTTTTTTATTACAACATACCTCTAGGGGTTTACCTCATTGTATATATCGCAAATTAGGTGTTGTTTCCCAATATATATATATAGTTATAGTAAGTCAATATTAATATTTTTGGGTTAATCTTAGGTTAGTAAGCCAACATAGATGTATCAGTGCTTACTTTGTGCAATCAAATCTCATATCAACTGTAATTTCTTTGGAATGAAATAATGATAAGATACAATTAGGATTATAGATTATAAACACAAGGTAAATAAATAGTGTGTGATGTTTCGGTAACAGCGTTGTTACCATCTTCAGACAAAAGTACTGAATGAGAAAGATATCACAGTATGTTATAAATAGTTACTGTTATCAAGTGTGTAAACAAGATAGCAGATAAGAAGATAGTTTTATATAAGAACCCTAAAATATTATTCTTTGGATTACAAGTGGAAAAAACCCTCATTATTATTTTTGATTTTGATGATTTTTTTTTTGCTTATCCCAAAAAAAAAAAAAAGTGCCGTGACCAGGATTCGAAACTGGGTTATTGTGGCCACAATGCAATGTCCTAACCACTAGACAATCATACCAGATAGATATAATTGATAGCATATCTATTAGCAGCATATCTGTTAATATCATTGTACTTTTGTCTGAAGATGGTAACAATGCTGTTACCGAGATGTCGCACTTTATTTGGTTATTTACCATGGGTTTGGAATGAAATAGTTTTTAATCTGATAAAGCACAATTTGAATTAAAGATTATAGATACAAGAAAATAGGACCTAATCCAAATAAATTAATAGTGTGTGAGATTTTGGTAGCAACGCTGTTACTGAAATGTCGCACACTATTAATTTATTTGGATTAGGTCTTATTTTCTTGTATCTATAGTTTTTAACCTACTAATTACCAGTAAAACACTAGAACTTTAGGTTTATCCACATTGATAAAGCACAATTTGGATTATAGATACAAGAATATATTACTTAATCCAAATAATTTAATAGTGTGTGACGTTTCGGTAACAGTATTGTTACCGTCATCAGGCAAAATATTAAATGAGAAAAAAGTTTAAGAACATGCTGTGATATTTTTTCTCATTTATTCTTTTGTCTGATGATTGTAACAATGCTGTTACCGAAACGTCACATACTATTTATTTAGATTAGGTATTATTTTCTTGTGTTTATCCTCATTGTTTAAATATTAAATATTAAATTTTGCTAATGGATGTTATATATAATTTTTTTTTGCTTATCCTTAGTACACGTGGTACAGGCCATGATAATCATGGTGGGTAGAAGTAGGCGACTGCTTTTACTGTAAGTGCACCGCATGTATGAGTTTTATATGATGTCTTGGAGTGTTTTTTTCCCTTATACATCCATGTAAAGATATCCTCCATTTATCTTCTTTCTCATCTCCACTCAATCATATGGTATCAAGCTTGTTGATGGTGTCTGCCGAGGAAGAGTAGAGCTCATCAATGGATGAGTCAATAATTGGAGCTAAGTAAGTGGCCTGCCACTGAGTAGTGCTTCCAGTCTTAAGGCAGACGCATTCTACTTCACCTAGTCATGATGGTTGTCAAATCTCCCCTCCATTTATAATTAGGGGAACCCTTAACATATTTACCTACTAGTTATAAACACAAGGTAATAAGACCAAATAAATAGTGTGTGACGTTTCGGTAACAGCGTTGTTACCATCTTCAGACAAAAGTATTGAATGATCCAATATATATCACACACAAAAGCCTTTATTAAGACACACAGGTCTTACAGAGGATTCTCCTTGGGGTTACAAAACGGAGAAACCTATGAAAGTGGGAAATAAAAAATGGAGAAAGATTATATACATTTGGTAAATATATACAGATTATAAGAAAGAATAAAAAAATAAGAAGAATAAAAAAATCAAAAAAAAAAAAAATTTTTTTTTGGAAATATGGATGGGAGAAGTGGAGAGCGAAAAGAGGAAAGAAAACAGGTATTTACATATGGAACAAGACAATTTAAGCTCTCACACAACACAGGTGGGCCATGTATTTTTTAAGAAATCTTTGAGATTTCCCAGGAAAATCCGCGTGTTCAGGGTGATCCAATATATATCTATAATCCAAATTGTGCCTTATCAACTAGTTATAAGTTAACGTTTTGGAAGTCTTTGCATATTTATTACTAATCCCCCTCCCTACTACACTTAACTAGTTATGTCTTCCTCATTGCTTTTCCCTTAAGGAGAAATTTTCCTCTAGTCACATCTTGTAAAAATGTCTTGCAAGTCTTGTCTGTTTTCTTTGATAAGTTATAATTTTGGTGGTTGGCTGGCAAATTGCTGAAAGAGAATAAATCCAATATGTTTGGGTACCATCTTAAGGAATAAAATGTAAGATAGTGGACATTGCTGCTGCTATGATAGAGATGCATGGAGACATCTGAGGCTCTTCATTGGACATAACAACAATACTCACTCCCATCAATAATTGACAATATGACCCAGAATAAGTATATTGCTACGGCGTTTTATGGTTTCCACAAGTCCATATCTCAGAAGAAAGCCAAGTGACACTCACTTTCTTACTGCTACTCTTTTTGTGTTGTTTTTCTTGCCTCCCTCTTTCTCTTTCTTGTTTTTTTTTTCTTTTTCTTCTGTCTATATCATTGTTTCCTTGGGGGGTCGGTGGAAGGCTGGTTAAACCGTTTGGTTTACGACCACTACGACCCGGGTTCGATCCCCGCATTGGACACTTTTTTTCTGTTAAAAAAAAAAAAAATGCTCCAATGGCCCCCGATTCTTGCAAATGTCCAACCCCACCAGCGAGTGCAAGTAACCAAACGGGGCTCTGGCACATTTGTAAGTGCAAAGTCGAACTGCTTTCACATGTGTAGACATGTGGTGCGCTTACAGTAAAAAGCAGTCGCTAACTACCCACCATGATTATCATGGCCTGTACCACGTGTACTAGGGATAAGCAAAAAAAAAAAAAAAATTGTTTCCTTTGTCTCACTGCTTTGTTCTTATGCATACCTCTGGTGAATCCTAAATAAAGGCTTTTTGTTGTTGACAACAACAATACAGTATACACACCCAAGATAGTGGACATTGCTGCTGCTGTGATAGAGATGCATGGAGACATCTGAGGCTCTTCTTTGGACACGACAACAACAAATAAAATGTAGTGAATCCGCATTAAGTACTTGATAGAATTATCTATAAAAAGAAAGGCCAGCTCCTCTGTCAAAATAAACACCATCAATTGACAGTCTCCACAAACTAGCGGACTCAGGTTAGTGACAACACCAGCTTTGGAAAAGTGCCCATCTGTATAGACCATGGTTTCAAGCTGATGAGTTATTTTTATAGATCAATATCCTCCTAACCAAAATTTTTGTGTCTATGATAAAAATTTGTAAACTAAAAAAAAATGCTACAATTTTTCTTTTAAAATATATTTTATTGGGAATTTTTAGGTCTTACCCCTTTTACAATCTGTACTTATGATAAGCCACAATTTGGATTATAGATTAGAAACACACAGTAATAAGACCAAATAAAATAAATAGTATATAATGCTTCGATAACAGCGTTGTTACAGAAACATCACATACTATTTATTTGGTCTTATTACCGTGTTTCTAATCTATACTTATATAATGAAAGATTGTATTACCTCTTTTTGTATATCTCATTAATTGTAACTACAGGTGGAGATAACATTTCGGCAAAGTTATGGAGAAATAATTCTTCAAAAATACCAAATTTTTAAAATTTTAGTAACACAAGTTAATAAAACCAAATCTATATAAATAAATTGTATGTGACCTTTCAGTAACAGTATTGTTACCATCATCAGACAAGAGTACTGGATGAGAAAAAATATCAGATGATGGTAAAAAACAGTTACAGAAACATAAGATACTATTTATTTGGTCTTATTACCTTGTGTTTATAACAGAATTAATCTTTATAAATACTGTATGTTGTTTTTAAACAAAATTCTACTGCAATTAAAAATTAAGATTTTGGCAAGTTATTTATTTTTGTATTTTTTATCACATGGTTTAATGTATCCATAATTGTAGGTATATGGGATTGAAGTAAACAGTGATTCAACATCTAATGGATACATTAAACCATGTGATAAAAAAATACAAAAATAACTTGCCAAAATCTGAATTTAGAATTAATCTTATTTTGTAACAATATTCTTTACTATTTTTAGCAAACAGGACAGTGATGGTAGTCCTGGCAATTTGAAAGTGTTTCATTCACCTTTAGTCTTCTTCTTTCTTATCTCCACTCAATCACACTAAGGTATCAAGCCCGTAAAGCTTGAGATTTTCGATGGTGTCTGCCGGGGAAGAGTAGAGCTCATCAATGGATGAGTCAATACAGTCAATAATATGTCTTGGGGTTGCAGGTTGAGAATTGCACTTAGTACATAGTGGGAAAACCTTACAACCATTCTGGAAAGTCATTGTCCGTAGATGACCAGACTTAAGTCACTCACCTTTAGTTACCAAAGTTAGTGTGGAGAGAGACTGACTCCAATACCTGACAATGGTAGAGGTTGGCACGACTCTAGGTAAACATTTGGGGAGCAGCCTATTTTATGTACTCATCAATGATAAGGCACAATTTGGATTATAGATTATAAACAAAAGGTAATAAGACCAAATCCAAATAAATAAATAGTGTGTGTGACATTTCTGTAACAGCGTTGTTACCAATACTTTTGTCTGAAGATGGTAACAACGCTGTTACCGAAACATCACAGTATTTATTTATTTGGTCTTATTTCCTTGTGTTTATGTACTCATCAATGATAAGGCACAATTTGGATTATAAACACAAGGTAATAAGACCAATTCCAAATAAATAAATAGTGTGTGACATTTCGGTAACAGCATTGTTACCAATACTTTTGTCTGAAGATGGTAACAACGCTGTTACCGAAACATCACAGTATTTATTTATTTGGTCTTATTTCCTTGTGTTTATGTACTCATCAATGATAAGGCACAATTTGGATTATAAACACAAGGTAATAAGACCAAATCCAAATAAATAAATAGTGTGTGACATTTCGGTAACAGCGTTGTTACCAATACTTTTGTCTGACGATGGTAACAATGCTGTTACTGAAACGTCACACACTATTTGGTCTTATTACCTTGTGTTTATGTACTCATCAAGTTTTTATGATGACAATAAAAATGACTTTTATTAAGATGTCATTAAAGATTATGTTGTGGAAGGAAACTAATTATAGAAGTTGAGGGAATTTATTTAAACAATTGGTACAATTGATACAAGAAAATAAGTCCTAATCCAAATAATTTAATAGTGTGTGATGTTTCGGTAACAACATTGCTACTATCATCAGACAAAAGAATAAATGATTAATAATAAAAAAAAAATCATTTTTTTGTCTGATGGTAACAATGCTGTTACTGAAATGTCACACACTATTAAGTTATTTGGATTAGGTCTTATTTTCTTGTATCTATATTCCAAATTGTGCTTTATCGAATTGGTACAATGAATGATTGGCTTCTGGGGGAATCAGTGGCCTCACCTGA